ATAATTTGCCCTAAAAGTCGATATTTTAAGAGAAAAATCCACGTTAATTATGTTATAAATTATTTTTCCTCAACTCTTTTTTATTTACACAGTACAATCAATATTTTAAAATTTATGGATTTTGCCAGTGCCAAATTGCAACACTGTAATATATATTAGGTTTTTTACAAACTTCATGAAGTATTCCAATAACTATCACTTTGTCAAGTTTTACGTTTACTCCAAATTATTCCAAGATATTCCAAAGATACGAATCAAATTCATGAAACGACGCAACCACGTTAATGCGAAAATATGACACAGTTACTCACACTGGCGTCCGTTTCCCTATTCGGGGCATATTCGAAATGGATGTCATGTTTCTGGGACGCGCTAGGTTAATTTGGAATTTGGCTTTCAAAGCCGGTTCGTCGAAACATGGAAAAGCACGGCGCGCATCCGTTGGTTCAAACTGAGTCGTAGCAATCCATCTATAATACAGAAATCCGATATCTTTAGCAAACAATCGACAGGAGTCCTCGTTTGAATCTATACATAAGTCAAACACACACTCGCAATAAGACTATTCAAATAATTACTCGCTCTATTCTTTAATCAAAACACTTTGCGATAAGTCCAAGTATAATAGTATGAATAGTATGATATTAAAAATTAAGAGATTTAGCGAAATAATTTTAATAACTTCTTCCCTCTCCCTTTCTCTTCGGGAAATAAATTTAAATTTGTCTTTTGAAAAATTAAAATTTATCTATGCTGTGCTTTTTTTATCTAATTAAATGTTCTGTAGATTAAAGTTTCAGGTTTTAGATTTTAAATGAGCAATTTATTGAGCAATAAATATAACAGCTTTATATCAAAATACGCTTGTGTTAAATAGTACATTTAATTAAGTCAGTTAAAACATAAAAAAGCAACTCTCAATTTACATCAGCCACGAAGTTTCATTGCGATATCGTTTACCTCGTCTGATTGCCGACCATATACGAGCTCCTATAGAAACCGTGCAGATTGTCATTCAAATAGCCAATGAACTTGAGATGCACGACGTATTGATTGCCTTTTTTCAACGTGTTCGATGTTTTAATCACGTGAAATTGCTTGTCGATGTCGTTTTTTTGCTCCGCGATCTTGATTACGGTCTTGTTATTCTTGTTATTAGCCGAGTACTCAACGATATGCGTAAAGTTTTCATCGATCTTTATACAAAAGGCGTGCAGCGTAACATTGTTCGTATCCTCTGTCACGTTTACTAAAATTTTGACCTAGACAAATTGATAATATTTCTATTTTTATAAGAAGCAGTCTTTATAAGAGAAATTAATAATACGTTTAATTTTTTCTTTAAGTGCCGCGAAATTGTATTTTTAATTATGCATGTTCCTACTTATCTCATTGTAGGATTCAAAGATATTTCAGAATTGTATACAGAATTTTATAAAAATGTATAATTTTTTTAACACAAACATAACAGTAAAATTTTTTAAATGTTTTCCTTCAATAGCAATTCGAAAAATCGTCGCAAATCAGACCAGTCGACAATTCGTAGAAAAGTAACAAGAACAAAAACAAATTTTAAATTATAATTAATCGGGAGTATCACAGGAACGCATATATTCTATTTTTTCAGTACATGAATGTTAACGATTGTATCAATTACTATACATATGTCTGTTCGTGATGGCAATAACAACGTATACACACACACACACACACACATATATATATATATATATATATATATATATATATAGTATATAGAATTGAGAATTAAGTAAGTTAGAAAAACGTTATGCTTACAATTGCTATTGAAAAGTAATCATTTCATAATGCAATCAAATTGGTTTGTCTATAAATAATTGTAAGAAGTCACTTATAATGTCAAAAAAAGAAATATTTTTGGCAAGTGGTTAACACTGCTGACTTCTTCACAATTATACATAGATAAATCAGCTTGATTGCATTATGAATGACTATAAGTACTTTTCAGTGACAATTGAAAGCATAATGTTTTTCTAAGGACAGTCAATGCAAACGAAAAATATTTATCGTATATCTCTACACATAGATTGCTGTAATAAAACAATAAGTTATATAATGACATAATCTATAATTAAAAAATATAACTATAAATTTTAAAAATTATATTTAAGATAGATCGAATATTACAATGCGACACTCTCAATCAATTCATGCAATCTATTTAAAATTATTATTATTATTATTATTTTTAAATATATGGAAATAGATACTTGTTAGAATGTATTTGCAGGTACATTTATAAACAGAATACTATTAATTTGTTTGTTACAAAAAATATCACTGAATTATAAAGCATTACCTCGCCATGAAAAGTGAAGTTACCCTCCCATATAAAAGGTATCAGCCATAATTCGTACAAATCGGGTACGACAGCTTTCGATAATTTGACATAATTTTTCTTTATCGATATCGAAAAATTTAAAAACGAATCACCATCAGATGCCTGAAGTTGTTTCTCCTCGCGACAAGGTGCAAAATAATACACCAATAAACCCACGCCAACCAAGCTGATGAGAAAGAAAATGCCCAAGAAAAAAGTGCCACATGGCGAAATCGTATAGCCACTTTTGCGTTCAAACATGGTTGTGTGCGCATCCATTATTGTCAGAGCTTCGACAACGATGGAACGAGACTGAGTCATACGTGAGCCTAAAAAAAGATATGCATGCGCGCTTTTCAGTTTTATCGCTCCTTCAGCATACTAATTGTTTCTTAGCGTAATTATGAATGAATTAACATTATTTTTCATTATCTACGCCATTGCACATCGTCAAACTATTTGATGCTTATGTTACAGCATAGTGTCTTTATATTCATTGTTATGTAATTGTGTTAATAATTTTAATGATTTTAATAATATAATGTAACAATGTCATAACTTTTCAATATGTCTCTTTAATATTTTCTTTCTTTTAAAATCTTATTTTGTAATGTAGTTTCTTATTGCCATACTGAATGTTAAATATTAAAAAATCTAATAAATAATAAATTTTTTAAAATAATAAAAAGAAAACGTCTCTAACTAAGTCAAAGGTTCTATTACTAAAATCAAGATTGATGTCACGATATATAAAATATGTATGTACATAAAATAGATTAACGTAGTACTTCGTTTCTTGTATAGAAATTGCAA